AAGCCAGTCTGGTGCACTAAGCGCTATGTGCAGGGTTCAGGAAAGGGTCGGACTACAAGGGTCTATTGTACACAGTTTTACCCTGTATTTCTACAAAAGATTATTTCCACGGCTCGAATCTGTGACATCTTGGTTATATGGCTGCAACTTTACAAGTTACGCCAATACTCCCCTTCCACTTAAATATCACAAAAGTCATAAAAAAGTTATAACTAAAAGTCACTCAATTTTACCTAAGTATCTAAAGTAAATTTACACGTTGATTAGTTAGTACCACTAAGCTGTCTGGAGCCAATTACTTCAAAAGTGTATCTAATTAACTCTTGTTCATATCCTCCCAAAATATTTTCTTTGCAGTAATTGTATGAAGTCTATATGTAAGGTAGGTTGCTGAAGTGTTCTCACAGAATCAAATTTATTCAATTGACCTTGGGTGTTTAATTGTTCAATAGCTATTAGTGGGGAGAATTTTTTTTTAAGTGAAAATGATATTTGAAATTTAGAGTTGTGTTTGGACATGAATATTATTTTTGGTTGTTTTTAAAGTTTTGTGAGTGATTTGAGTGAAAATTTTGAAAAACAATTTTTTGGAATTTTCAAAAATTTTCAAAATGCATCTTCGTGAAAATTAAATTTTTTATGAATAAACGCTGATTTCGAAAAAAAGTAAAACTTTTTTGAAAAAAAAAAAAAAAAAATCTTATATCCAATCGGGCAAGTATTCATTTCCCAGCTGTCTTCTGATATGAAACCAAGTTACTGCCATTGAAAAATAGATATGGACGCCAAGAAAATCTGTTACAGCTGGTATGTAAGACTTCAAAACTAAAGAAATACTACTTAATTTTAGTTTATAAAAAGCACTTGAATTAGAACAAGGCACTAAAAAAAAAGACCAAATCAGAAGGTAAGTCATGATTAAAAGTAAATTTTTATATTGCACATAGATCATAACTAATGAGCCTTTCCCCTTATCACACGGAAAACATTTATTAATGTTGGAATTAACGTAGATTCTTCTTGTTTGCTGTAACTAAAACTATTACTGCTATTTCGAAGTCAGTTAAAAGATTAAGATATCGAAAGAGAATAGTGGTGGTAAAATGGATAAAAAAATAGTTATTTATCCATATTATTTGTCACACATTCACATCTCCTTTTTACCCTAAAAGATATGTATTATGGATTGTTATGGGTTAAAGAATTTTTCTAATTAAAGTGACAAATTTGAATAAAGATTATTTCATTTACAGAGTCGCCACTTGAAATTAATTTTTTGAGTGTTTCAAGTCACATTTTATTTGAATCCCTAGTCAAAGGAAAGTTTGACTCTATTATTATTGGTCTGCGAAAACAAAACTCGGGTAAGGAATTCTGTTGACCGGGGAGAAGGTGTAAGGCATTCCCCGAGTCCCGTGGTTCTAGCACGGTCGCTTTATTGACTATAACTTGGCTTGAATTAATTTTAGATAAACTGTGATTTATTGGTTTTCATATTTTATCTATCCGCTTATATATTAAAATATAAAATTATCTTTGAAACGAATCACATGTGTGAATCCGTTTTGTTTATTGTGCCAAAATCATATCACGTGCATGTGTATGCAATTAATAGCATTTTTATTATATTTAAGGTTGTTTCACCCCAAAGTTGCGCGAACGCATACCTTGATTTTAGTTTTGGGAATCGTAATTATGTCATGCGAACGTATACATAATCACGATGATTCAATTAATTAAGAGTACGCCTAAAGCATTCTAGCGCATTTATGATTTGTTTCTTTCCTAAGTTTGAGATTATTGTGAATGCCATGAATTATGGAATTACTTGTAGAAGAAGTGTATGATTTTAGATATTTGAATAAATAAACCATAATATACCAGTACCCTACAACCCAACAATTGAAGCCCAAACTCATTAGGGACCAAATCTTCCCAACTTTAAAAGCAAGTTTGAATACCATATTTCTAAAAATATGATTAAGCATATACTCCATTTAAGGACTAACTTACATTATTATTTATAAAGTTTAAAGGAAAATAAATAAGATCACATGAAATAAGATAAAAAGAACAGAGGAAAGAATAAACCTTTAATGCAAAATTTTCAATTAAATGAGTCCCCAAGAACAGGTACAATAACTCAGACGAATGTCGAACAAGCATAAGCGACGAATAACATCAAACCTAGTGAACGGAGCTCCAACGGAATCTTCGACCTCAACTATTGACTCCACTATTTGACATGTAAAAAAGTATGTTATGAAGTATTTTTGTTGGATTTTGGATAATGACTTGATGGATTGTTTGAAAGAAAGACGAAGAAAGAATGACACGAGTAGAAATTCCCTTAGCGTAAAAGAAGAAGAAAAAATAATTTCTCTCAATTCCCTCCTCCCTTATTTTTTTATCCTTCTCCCTCCCTCCTCACATTTCTCTTCTATTTATAGAAAAAAAATTCAGAATTTTTTTAGATTTTTTTTATTTTTTTATTTTTTTATTTTATTATTTTTTAATTAAAAAGAATACCCCTTCCCATTTTTCTTAATTCCCCATTTTTCTTTACTTTTATTTTTTAATTTCCCATTTTTTACTTTTATTATATTTAAATTTTTATTTTTTTTTACTTTTTTTTATTTTCCACTTATTTTACTTTACTTTTTTTATTTTTCACTTATTTTACTTTTCTTTCTTTTAAATTTTTAGCTACCTTTACTTTATTTTTTAATTCCAACTTTTTTTTACTTTTCATTTTTTAAATTTCCACATTCTTTTACTTTTATTTTTTAATTTTTCACTTTTTTTTTCTTTTTTATTAAAGATTTCACCTACTTTTACTTTTACTTTTTAATTACATACTTTTAATTTACCTATTATTTTATTCCCATCCGAAAATTAAAAAAAAATTATTTTTTCGATTTTTTAATTTATTTTATTTTAAAATAAAGATAAAAATAAAAATAATACTAATAGTAATAATTGACCTTTTTAAATTATTTTTAATTTTTACCCTATATAAAAAAGTGTAACAAAGCTAAAAAATATATAGTAAATTTCTAAAAATATTTACATAGTAGAAGGTAATAAAAATTCAAGTGTAGTCAAAAATTAGGTGCTCACATTATTCATTAAAAAATTGGTTGAATAATAAACTTTTTAAGAATTGGTCCATATTATTTACCTCAAAAATGGATAATCAATACAACAACAACAACAATAACAACAACAACAGCAACAACATATCCAGTATTATCCCACACCGTGAGGTCTAGGGAGTGTAGTGTGTACGCAGACCTTACCCCTATATTGTGAGGATAGAGGGGTTGTTTCCAATAGACTTTCGGCTCAGGATAGTATAAGTACCACATTAATGAAAATATACGTAAGAAGGGACAGTATCAAAAAGCCATATAAAAGCAGAATAAAACAAGACAGTAAAGTAATCAACAATGAAAGAAAACAACGGTTAGTCATAAAAACCTACCAACAGAAAACGAGGTTGCGTGCCAATACTAATGTTATGAACACTCTACACTACCTACTCTACTACCCTAATTCTCGACCTCCAAACCTTCCTATCAAGGGTCATGTCTTCGGTCAGCTGAAGTTGCCCCATGTCTTGCCTAATCACCTCTCCCAACCTCTTCTTTGGTCTATCTCTACCTCTCCGTAGGCCCTTCAATGTCAACCTCTCACACCTCCTCACCGGGCGTCTGTGCTCCTCCTCCTCACATGACCAAACCACCTAAGCCGCGCTTCCCGCATCTTATCTAGAGGCCACACCCACCTTATCGCGAATAACTTCATTTCTGATCCTATCTAACCCGGTGTGCCCGCACATCCATCTCACACATCCTCATCTCTAGTACCTTCATCTTCTGGACATGAGAAATCTTGACTGGCCAACACTCAACCCCATACAACATCGTTGGTCTGACCACCACTCTATAGAACTTACCCTTAAGTTTCGGTGACACCTTCTTGTCACACAAAACACCGGAAGCGAGTCTCCATTTCATCCATCCCGCCCCAATATGATGTGCGACATCTTCATCAATCTCCTCATCCCCCTGAATAACAGACCCGAGGTACTTAAAACTCTCTCTCCTAGGGATGATCTGCGAGTCCAGTCGCACCTTCCCTTCCCCTCCTAGAGTCTCGCCACTGAACTTACACTAAAAGTATTCTGTCTTGGTCCTGCTCAACTTGAAACCTTTAGATTCCAGGGTCTGCCTCCATACCTCTAATTGCGTGTTCACACCGTCTCGCGTCTCGTCAATCAATACAATATCATCTACAAATAACATGCACCACGACACCTCCCCTTGGATGTGGCGCGTCAGTACGTCCATCACAAGAGCAAAAACAAACGGGCTAAGTGCTGACCCCTGATGCAACCCCATCATAACCGGAAAATGGTCTGAGTCCCCCCACTGTCCTCACTCGAGTCTTTACTCCATTATACATGTCCTTAATCAACCTAACGTAGGCAACAAGTACACCTCTAGCCTCCAAATATCTCCACAAAACCTCCCTCGGAACTTTATCGTACGCCTTTGGGTTTAATTTTTACATTTGCAAAGATTCAAATTGGGGATTCTTCAAGTTTGGGAGATTAGGAATTCTTTCAAAAGTGAATATATTCAAGAAGCCATGGATAATATAAATATTCATATTATCCGTTGGGTTAATCTATTTTTTATCCGTATTAAATATGGGTTGATCAGCTTTTTTTTACTATTCATTTTTAACCTGCCCGTTTGCCTCCCCTAGATGCAAATAAGGGTAATTTTTATAAATGGACCCAACTTTTATAGGAGGTAAATGTATATCTAGACATTTTTGCAAAGCAGAGGGCAAATTTGGACCGTTTTCCTAAAATTATTTTGTTGCTCAGCTGTTGTTGAATATTAACCAGCTTCCATTTTCAAACTCCAACGCCTCTGTATATATCTGTAGAAGGAGATCCCCTGCTAGTAGCTCACAGAAAGAGAGCTAAAATGGCCGCGTCTAGGATTCTTTCTGTATCTCAAAAGATCATTAAGCCTTCTTTCCCCACTCCTTTACTTAGACGACACAATCTCTCTTTCCTTGATCAAATCTCTCTTTCTATATATGCACCAACTGCCGCTTTCTACTCTAAACCTGCAAATAACAACATAAGTCAGATTCTTGAAAACTCCCTTTCAAAAGTATTATCCTCTTATTATCCTTTTGCCGGAAGAATAAAGGGTAATAAATATGTTGATTGCAATGATGTTGGTGTTGAGTATTTAAACGTCCGAGTCAATTGTCCAATGTCTGAAATTCTCAACCACCCTTATAATGATGCTACAGATATAGTCTTCCCATAAGATTTACCTTGGAGTAGTTCCTTTGACCAAACTCCACTAGTGGTTCAATTAAGCCATTTTGTTTGTGGTGGAATAGCAATCAGTATATGTATATCGCACAAGATTGCTGATGGCTATAATCTGTCGAAGTTCCTTAATGATTGGGCTGCTACAACTCGAGAGTTGGATTTCGAACCATCTACTCAGTTTGATGCAGCTTCGTTTTTCCCACCGATGGATGATCCTCCAGTAATACCTAATGTTGTTCGTGAACAATGCGTGTCAAGAATGTTCAATATCTCATCTTATAGCTTAGGCAAACTCAAGGATATCGTTTCAACTAATTCAGAAGTGCAGAATCTAACTCGTATCGAAGTTGCCACAGCACTTGTTCATAAATGTGGAATGTCAGTATCTATGGCGAATTCCGGCTTGTTCAGACCATCTTTAGTGACTCATTTAATGAATTTACACCCTCATTTTCCCCTAAACACCATTGGAAATGCTTATTGTTTCCTTAACTCAGCAACAACGACAGAAGATGAGATACAATTGCCCCACATCGTTGCTCAACTACGAAAGGCTAAACAACATCAACGAAACATGTTGAAGGATATGAGTTCAGATAAGATAGCCTTACACGCGCTTGAATCAATCAATGCGGGTGTTAACATAATAATAGAGAAGAAATATGATCCTTATATGTACAGCAGCTTGTGCAATCTAGGATTATATAAGATTGATTTTGGATGGGGTAAGCCCATAAATGTGACCTTAGCGAGAAGTCCAATGAAAAACAACATTGTTTTCTTGGATAATCCAAGTGGAGAAGGGATAAATACATTAATCACTTTGACAGAAGCTGATATGTTGATATTTCAGAGTAACAAAGAGCTCCTAGAATTTGCTTATCCAGTTGTTTACTCACCGGAATAAGCTAAAAACCATCTTGCCAAGCTATTATGTGTAATCTTCATATCCTCAAGTTATTTTTCTTAAAGTTGTGTGATTCTCCAAGTTATCTTTTCAATTCAGTTGTCTATATTAACTTCTACCAAATCGGTATCTTGTTTTATATTACCTCCGTACCCTCTCCTTCTCAGTGGGGATCAGAAAAGTTGCATAGCGGTGACAATTCTGTGAATCTTGTCTCATACTGTTTTATTCTTTTACGCTCTTTTGCTACTTCATTATATGTAACGCGAATGTTCTGGTTCAATAAAGCTCATGAACTAACACTTGTTTCTACTTTGACAAGATTAAGGTAGAATGCTAGTTTTTCATGTAAATCGCTGCTCAATTGGCCGATTCTGATGCTCCAATTATGTTGCATCACTAAGTACGTTTGGAAGTTCTTTGTTTGAGATCTTGTTATAGGCATTTTAAGAGCTTCCAAAGGTTCATCCAAGTTCTTTTTTTTGTTTTTGTTTTGGTTAACTTGATGTGTGTGTGTGTGTGTATATAT